CGCACTTCTTTTTTAGTAAGGGTACCCTTACCAACTATCCCAAAATAATATGCTTCAAAATGCTTCAGGAATTTTCCAGACTAGTCCTCTCATAGTTTTTTACTTCAGACCTCTCTTTGTTACCACGGTGCTCTCTGATCTCCTCAGACACTCTGTTTGCATTCATCTCCAAGAGAACACACAGGACATAGTATAATACCGCCAGATAGATATATCAAATATACTTTAATGTAAAACTGCTCACATGATATAAGATTCAAAATCGCTTAATAGGTAATAGAAGGAGTCTCACAACCATCCAGGGAAACGTCCAAGTGTAACTCCACGATTTTTCCCTTCTCCAAGATGGCCGCCAGTAAACTTCCGGTTCCGGTAAAAAAACGTCTTGACGTCACTACCCTTGACGCGTTTCGTCATCGACTTAATCATAAGGGGACTGGATATATATAAAAAATAATTTTTATTTTGGGATAAAGGTATATAGAGATATTATATCTCACAGCTATTGTATATTAGGATAAATTTGTAAATTCACTGTCACTTTATATGATTTTGCACACCCTTAGGGGAGGGTGTTGATGGTGTTATAGGGTATTTATTTTATTTTAGAGGTGGTTACTTTCTAATGGTTTAACAAACATGGAAGAAAAATATATTTTAAATATATTTTTAAAAATACATTCTTAATTATATTCTTCCCAAATATAATATTGACATATATTTAAAATACTACAATTTTGGCCGTATTCAATATATTTAAACAATTTTTGAGAACATATTACTAAAAATATATTCAGAACACACGCTGCAATATATATCAAAGTGTCATTTGGAATGCATTTACAAGTATATTTAAAAATCTATGTTTAAATGCATTTTTTTTTAGATGTTCAAAATATCTGGAAAATATATTTTGAAAAATATATTTTTAAATATATGCCTTTGGAAAATATATTTTAATTTACATTTTTGGAATACATATTAAAATATATTCGTGTAGGCCAATATATTGTAAATGTATGTATATATTTTTTTTCTAAATATATTGAAAATATATTTGTCTTCCAAATGGGAACCTTCAACTGTGTAAGGGTTCTTTACTGTTAGAATGGTAAGGATGTGAAACTCCCTTCCACAATCGGTGGTGTCAGTGGGACGTGTTGAAAATTTTGAAAAACGTTTAAATAGGCATCTTAACGTAACCAACATACAGGGATATGGGAAGTGTTGGAGACATAACTGCATACACACACCCACACAGGTTGAACTGGTTTCTTTATTCAACCTTAACAACTATGTAGTCCTGCCAATGAAACTTATTTAAATTGAATTTATATAGCGCCATCACACAGCGCTTTACATACATACAGTATGTTGAACATTCACATCAGTCTCTAACCTCAAGGTCCCTAACTCACATATACTAGGGCCAATTTAGACAGGGGCCAAATAACCTACTAGCCTGTCTTTGGAATGTGGGGGGAAACAGAAGTACCCGGAGGAAACCCACACAGGCACAGGGAGAACATGCAAGCTCCAGGCTGGTGGTGCTGTGGTTAGGATTCAAACCTTTGACTCTAGTGCTGCCAGGTGGAAGTGCTAACCACTTGGCCACTGTGCTAACCCCAGAGAGATGTGCTGTCTGGATTCTGGCTTTCAGGAGTACCATAGATATGGCACTAGCATCTCCTTGTTTGCTCTTTAGAAGTAATATTCTGCTGCTATGGAATTGTGTATTGGCTCCCCACCATTTTTGCCATGGTCATGATAGGAAATAGGAAGACATAGGCATGTAAGGGCGCAGCTTCCCACATGGAAGACAAATATATTTGAAATATTCTATATTTCTAAGGACATATTTCTAAGAATATATTTTAAAAATGTTTTAAAAATTTCCCAAATATATTGACATATATTTGAAATTCTACAATTTTGGCCGTATTCAATATATTTTCAAAATATATTTCAATATATATATATATATTGCATGTTGAAATGCGTTTTTTATTACAAAATATATGAAAATATTTTTAAAAAATACATTTCAAATATACTGTATGTCTTTATAAATACAAATCTACATTTTTGGAATGCATTTACAAATATATGTAAAAATATATGTTAAAATGACTTTTTTATATGTCAAAAAAAGAAAATCTGAAGAATATACTTTAAAAAAATATATTTTTAAAAACATTCTTCATATATTTTGTAAAATATAAAAAATGCATTTCAACATGCAGTGTGTGTGTGTGTGTATATATATATATATATTTATATATATATATATATATATACGCCCACTTGTGACATCATCCTGTGCTGTGGTTAGCCAAAGCATTGCTGTGGTCCTGTGACCTGTGGTCAGGTGCATTGCTTTGACCAATCACAATGCACTGTCAGGGTGCAGTGCATTGTGGGGCGCAGCGGGCGAATAGCCCGCTGAACACCCGTACCGTTCATGTGTTCAGCAAAGACACTCCAAAGACATGCTGGTAGGTTAATTGGATCCTGCCTAAAATTGGCCCTAGTATATGAATGTGAGTTAGGGACCTTAGATTGTACGCCCCTTGAGGGTTAGGGACTGATGTGAATGTACAATATAACATATTTGCCGGCGTATAAGACGACTTTTTGACCCTTGAAAATCTTCTCAAAAGTCGGGGGTCGTCTTATTTGCCGGTATACGGCATACTGACACTTTTTAGGGGGGTGGCGCGGTGCCGCCGCCGCCCCCCCCCCTTCCAATGGAAGGGACACTAAGTACAGGGGTGGGCAGGGGCTGCTGTCTCTTACCTGGCTCCGGTGCCACGACGATCCGGTCCAGGAAGCGTGGCTGCTCCTTCAGTTCGGCCACTGGATGTTCGCGCGGCTGCTCGGCTCCGCCTCCTCACCGGCGAGGGGGCGGAGCCGAGCAGCCCCGTGAAAATCGAGTGCAGGCAGCAGCAGGTAAGTGTGCCGTGTAGAGGTGCTGCTGCAACCACATATGCTGGCTGCAGCAGCACCATACTAGAACAGGGTCAGCAAGTGTCATTGGTGTCAGTGGGAGGTAGTGCTCCATCACTGATACCAATGATGGAGCACTATTCCTCCCACTGACACCAATGATGGGGCACTAGAACCCACTGACACCAATGATGGGGTGGGAGGAACTATTCCTCCCCACTGATACCAATGATGGAGCACTATTCCTCCCACTGACACCAATGATGGGGCACTATTCCTCCCCACTGACACCAATGATGGGGCACTATTCCTCCCCACTGATACCAATGATGGAGCACTATTCCTCCACTGACACCAATGATGGGGGACTATTCCTCCCCCCACTGACACCAACGATGGGGCACTATTCCCCCCCCCCCACTGACACCAATGATGGGGCACTATTCCACCCCCCACTGACACCAATGATGGGGCACTATTCCACCCCCCACTGACACCAATGATGGGGCACTATTCCACCCCCCACTGACACCAATGATGGGGCACTATTCCCCCCCACTGACACCAATGATGGGGACACTATTCCTCCCACTGACACCAATGATGGGGCACTATTCCCTCCATTGATACTAATGATGGGGCACTATTCCTGCCACTGACACCAATGATGGGGCACTATTCCTCCCACTGACACCAATGATGGGGCACTATTCCCCCCAGTGATACTAATGATGGGGCACTATTCCTCCCACTGATACCAATGATGGGGCACTATTCCCCCACTGATACCGATGATGGGGCACTATTCCTCCCACTGACACCGATGATGGGGCACTATTCCTCCCACTGATACCAACGATGGGACACTATTCCTCCCACTGACACCAATGATGGGGCACTATTCCTCCCACTGACACAATGATGGGGCACTATTCCTCCCACTGATACCAATGATGGGGCACTATTCCTGCCACTGATACCAATGATGGGGCACCTATTCCCCCCACTGATACTAATGATGGGGCACTATTCCTCCCACTGATACCAATGATGGGGCACTATTCCTCCCACTGATACCAATGATGGGGCACCTAATCCCCCCACTGATACTAATGATGGGGCACTATTCCTGCCACTAATACCAATGATGGGGCACTATTCCTCCCACTGATACCAATGATGGGGCACCTAATCCCCCACTGATACTAATTATGGGGCACTATTCCTCCCACTGACACCAATGATTGGGCACTATTCCTCCCACTGACACCGATGATGGGGCACTATTGCTCCCACTGGTGTGCATTGGAAGAGGGGTAGTCTTATACGGCGAGTATAGCCCAAACACTACATTTTAGCAGGAAAAGTAGGGGGTCGTCTTATACGCCGGCAAATACGGTATATGTAAAGTGCTGTGTAAATTGATGGCGCTATATAAGTACCTGAAATAAATAAAATAAAAAAGACACGAATGGCCCATGTTGGAGTCGAACTTAGGTTCAACTCTAACATGTAGCCCAACTCTACTTCCCAGGCTCCAAGCTCCCATCAGTGGACCTGGGACCTGCATGGTGGGTGCCACCGGTAGAAGGGAGGGAGATCAGTGAACACCTATTCACTGATCTCCCATTCCTGTTAATGAGCCGGAAGCAATGTGTGTAAAACGTCCCTTCGGGGTCCTGGTGTCACTGTCCTAAGACAAAATTGGATGATGTTATCTGGAGACAAAGCCATCTCCTGCAAACTTTGGCCAGTCTGTGAAGAAGAGGTATCCAACCAGTGAGGTTGCCCGCAAGTCGTGCCACACGGAACATCACTTCCTCCCAGCTCCCCAGTCAGTCTTCACATGGAGCTAACGTTGGCAGGGATTAGCTCCACGTGGAGTTTTATTTTGAAGTTTTCTTTTTTTGGGGGGGGGTGGATGCAAGTAGCTGGTCTTGCCTAGGGCGCAAAATAGTCTAGCACCAGCATGCATACAACAGCCACTTAGGTGCTCTTCACGTGCTCACCTCTAGATGGTTGTATATTCTTCTCCTCTTCTTCTCTCACCGTAGGTTCCGTGAACATCCCCGGAGCGATGATCGGTATAGTCCTGGGTGGAGTGATCATGAAGAGGTTCCAGTTATCACCTAAGCAGTGTGGAGCCATGTGCGTCATGGGCATGTCCTGCTGCATCCTCGTCGCTCTCCCACTGCTCTTCCTCGGGTGTTCCACGCAGCACTTCGCCAGTCCAAGCGCCGACCCAAAACTCAGGTAACCAATCAGACGGAGGCTTTGGACTTCACCGTATTCATCTGTTTTGTCAAAAGGTTAAATTGTACCAACAGCAAACATTTTTTTTGTTTTAGAAAGAGTAGGGAAGGGTTAATACCCCTGTTGGGTTATTTTGTAATCCCACTGAGAGAGATTGGGGGCCATGATTTTTTTTTTGCCATGACTTGTAGGATACCTCCTTGGCAGCCTAAAGGATAATATTCCTAAGTCTCGGTTCACACTACTACGACCTGCAGTGCGACTTCCTGGTGACTTGAGGACTACTTTGTAGCGACTTTGAGGCTTGTTAATACTTGTTGTATGTTATATGCATTCTGATGCATTATTATTGGTTTTTCATGTTTTTTAAGCACATTAGGTAGCAGTGCTGGGATGAGAACAGACTCTATAGTTTTATAGGCAAGATGGACACCTGGGGTTTTGTGTGTTGCAATGCATGCGATAAAATGCACCAGTCTAAATGGGCCTTCTGGGGAAGATTCAGAGTGCCTGGATAGCTGCATTGGATGGTAGGTGATACATTGGGGGTTTGATAGACCCCCAATGTCTCCTTAAAGAGGACATGTCACTTGCCTGTGCTATCACAATAATCAGCAATAAAAGTAATAAAAACTCTAAATAAAAAGTGTAAAAAAACATATAAAATATTTTTTTTTATTTTACATTTTAAAGCATCCCCTATGTACACCCCATATATGAAGCTGAGTGAGCACATGTATGTAAATATCAGTTGCACCACACATGTGAGGAATCGCCACAAATGTCAGAGTGAGAGCAGTAATCCAAGGGCCAGAATTCATAATTAAAGTGATATTAAATGTTTTTTTTTTTTTTAAATACCAAACACATCATATAATCCTAGGACCAGAATTCATAGTTAAAGTGATATTAAAGTTTTTTTTTTTTTCTCCTTTTAAATACCAAACACATCATATAATCCTAGTGTCAGAATTCATAGTTAAAGTGATATTAAATACTTTTTTTTTTAAATACCAAACACATCATCTAATCCTAGGGCCAGAATTCATAGTTAATGTGATTATTAAATACTTTTTTTTTTTAAATACCAAAACACATCATCTAATCCTAGGGCCAGAATTCATAGTTAAAGTGATATTAAAAGTTTTTTTTTTCTTAAATACCAAATACAACATCATTACTCTGTTTTGCACAGAGCAGCCCAGATCCTCCTCTTCTCAAGTCCCACGCCAACACTCCTCCTGTCGGGTGCCCCCACAAGCAGCTTGCAATGGGGGCGCCCGCTGCTCCGTGTGTCCAATCACACACGGATACCGCGGCTTGGCCTGGCCCCCTCGCTCTTCTCATTGGCTCACTGGCTGTGACTGAAAGAAGCAGGAGCCAATAAGGAGAGGGAGTCCTGGGATTTCCGAGACTTCAGTGTACATCGCTGGATGGAGAGGGGGCTTAGGTGAGTATTAGGGGGGGATGCATAGAATGCATGAAGGTAAAAAAAAAAACCTTGAGCCTTGTGCAGTTTTAAGACTTGACATGTTTGGTATCTCTTTACTTGACGTAACCTAATCTTTTATCATTTACCAAAAAAGTGGGTATATTATTGTGTTTACGAATAAAATTCCTTTTTTTTTTGTATTTATTTCCTTGAAATTATGTGCTTAATAACTGTGCAAATATTGTGCAATGCAAAAAAAATTGCAACTACTGCCATTTTATTCTCCAGGGCTTCTGTTTTCAGAAATTATACCATATACTTTTTAGGTGGTTTGCAGTCATTTCTAGCAAAGAATGCAGATTTTAACATGTACAAAAATTTTTTTAAAAAAATGCCCCGTTCGGCAAGTGGTTAATTCATTTTTCTACTGGGGCGAATCATGCTTGAAAATGGGCAATGTGATAAATAGAGGGAATGGGAAAAATCAAGTCATGGGCAAAAAAAAATGGGCAAATACGGGGCAAATGATGAGTGGATTTCTTGTTGAATTATTGATTAACCTCTTCACGCCGGCTGAACACAAATGTGCGGCCTCCCGACACCTAGGCCTAGACGCCGAGCAGCTGCACATTTGCGCTCTATTAAAAAAAAAACATGTGCTGAGAGCGCGCGTCCTGCATGCTCCCAGCACACATGTCCGGTACTCACGGAAAGGTCCCAATCTCCTCTTTCGATCGGGACCTCTCCCGATCATGTGACCGCCGTGACGGCGTGTCACGGCGGTCACATGACCATAAGCCCCACCTCCCAGCTTCTGAAACTCTTAAAGGGCTGGGAGGCACCTGCGCCAAGGGGTTAATATACCCCTAAGTGTGGTGGTTGTTGAACTGTCAACTGCCTGACCTCAACCTTATAAAACAGGGTCAGGCAGCAAAACCTATACTGTAGGTGGGAGGAAGATGAAAGCCTTCGGGCTTCTGGTATTATGCCCAATTATGTATACTCAAGAGCTTGGAGACAGCTCGTGTTATCAGCATAAGACCAAGTAACTGCCAGAACTCAAGGGTCAGGATCTGCCCTCTGAAAAGATAAACAGAAATCCTTCCAATTAGTATTTAGGAATGAATATTTCCATATTTCCGTAAGCCCAATCCTGATTGGTTCACAGGAGCTCCACAAGTTTTGAGCAGACATAAAACTTATTTATACAAACCCGATATGAAGCTTGGCCTCTTGCTGATTGAAGGATGATCGGGGTTTTTTTGGGGGGGTTTTTTTTTGGGTGGAGTTCACCTTTTAGATGCTTGGCTAGGGACAGTTGATTGGCTCCCGGATCTTTCACGAGTTCTCCTTTATGTCATAGTGGCGGAATATGGCACAATGTAAGTGAATGCAGCAGCCGTTGTGGATGTTCCAGCACAGCTTTCAACCCCATCTGCGGCTCTGATGGCATCGAGTACATCTCACCCTGCTACGCCGGCTGTGAGGGTGTCCATTTTCATTACGAGGACAATAAAGTTATGGTAAGCACACAATGTGTTTAGATTGGATTGCATCATGGATTTGGGTCTGTTTGTTGTCAGAATTGAAGAATTTAGGGAAATGATCCAGCTGCCAAGAGATTTGTAACTCTGTTCAGTCAACCCTGTGATCCAGATATCCATGCCAGACAGCACAGCCAGGTCCCTGACCTCCTCTACAGGTAACAAGTACAGCTTGGTCAAGGACACCCCCCCAGCCTGCTGATTGGTGAATGAAGTTGTATAAAGTTTCTGTTTATTGACCCCATGTGCTGAGCAATGGCAGAGGTGGATCTCCCCAGTGGAAACACACACAATTATGTCCCCACAGTCCCAAAAAAACTGCCTTTAGAGACGCTTGTGTAAATTAATTCCTTACACTGTTTGTGTATAGGACAATGTCACTAGCGTTAATGCTTGACGACTGATGAAATAAATATGAATACAAGGTTATAAAAACCTTGCTTTATTCCAGGCTAGGGGTAACCTGAGCAGGAGAGGCTTTGTTTGGGGGCGCTCTTGCATCTTCTTATACATCTCCATAGTCAGATCTGTCAGTAGGCGATTTTGAAATATATTAGCCAAAAAAAAAGGATAGAATGAGAATAGAATTGGATGCATCACTGGAGGGATCCCAGCAGGGGGAGGTCCCAATACCTCTATATAGATCTTTATATCACTATAGGGGTCACTCCTGATTCCTCTATATAGATCTTTATATCACTGGGGTCATCAGCAGGAGGAAGGAGGTCCTGATTCCTCTATATAGGCTAGGAGGGGAAGCAGGAGGCAGGGTCCTGATTTCTCTATATAGATCGTAATATCACTAGAGGGGTAACAGGAGGAAGGAGGTCCCGATTCCTCTATATAGATCTTTATATCACTATAGGGGTCACCAGAGGAAGGAGGTCCTGATTCCTCTATATTTGCACTAGGGGTCCCAGCAGGAGGAGGTGGTCCTGATTCCTCTATATAGATCTTTATACCACCAGAGGGGTCACCAGCAGGAGAAAGGAGGTCCTGATTCTTCTATATAGATCTTTAGAGGGTGTCACCAGCAGAGAGGAAGGAGGTCATTCCTCTATATAGATCTTTATATCACTAGAGGGGTCACCGCCAGAGACTGAGGTTCTGAATGTAGTATTCTTTTATCAACTAGAGGTCACCAGCTGAGAAATTAGATCTGATCTTCCATATACTGAGATCTTTATATCATTAGAGGGGTCACCATAGGAGGAATGAGACCCTGATTCTTCCATATACTGTAGATCTTTATATTGCTAGAGGGATCTCCATCAGGAGGAGGAGGTCCTGATTCCTCTATATAGATCTTTTTTTCACTAGAAGGGGTCACCAGCAGGAGGGAGGAGGTCATTGAGAAGTCCAGCAGAGGGAAGGAGGTCCTGATTCCTTTATATAGATCTTTACATATCACTAGAGGGATCACTAGCAGGAGGGAGGAGGTCCTGATTCCTCTATATAGATTCTTTATATCATTAGAGGGGGTCACCACAGAGAAACAGGGCCCTGTCTCTATATAGATCTATATATCACTAGAGGGAACCAAGAGGAATTCCTGATTCCTATAGATCTTTATAGATCCCAGCAGGAGGGAAGGTGGTCCGATTATCCATATAGATCTTTATATCACTAGAGGGGTCACCGGCCAGAGAGAAAGGAGGCCCAGTTCATGATTCCCTCTATGTAGATTATTTATCACTTAGAGGGGTCACACTGGAGAAATGGATCCTGATTCTTCCATTATACTGTAGATCTTTTATATCATTAGAGGGTCACCAGCAGAGGAATGAGATCCTGATTCTTCCATATACTGTAGATCTTTATATTGAGGGATCCCCACTAGAGGGATCCTGATTGCTCTATATAGATCTCTATATCCTCTCCTTCAGGAAGGAGGTCCTGATTGCTCTATATAGATCTCTATATCACTAGAGGGGTCACCAGCAGGAGGGAGGAGGTCTTGATTCCTCTAAATCTGTACTGGAGGGATCTCCATCAGGAAGGAGGGTCCTGATTGCTCTATATAGACACTCTATATTAGGTCACCAGCCTGTTCCTCTAATTGTACACTCTGGCCACTTTATTTAGTATGCCTGTTCAAATTGCTTGGTAACACAAATTGCTAATTAGCCAACCACATGGCAGCGACTCAATGCACTTAGGCATCTAGACGTGGTGAAGATGACTTGCTGAAGTTCAAACTGAGCATCAGAATAGGGAAGAAAGGGGACTGAAGTAAGATTTGAATGTGGCATGGTTGTTGGTGCCAAATGGGCTGGTCTGAGTATTTCAAAAACTGCTGATCTACTGGGATTTTCATGCACAGCCATCTCTAGGGTTTTATAGAGAATGGTCCAAAAAAGAGAAAATATCCAGTGAGTGGCAGTTGTTGTGTGAAGAAAATGCCTTGTTGATGTCAGTGGTTAGTGGAGAATGGGCCAGACTGGTTGCACGCGACATTCAGATGTCAGAATTTGGCATAAACAACATGAAAGCACGGATCCATACTGCCTCGTATCAACGGTTTCAGGTGGTGGTGGTGGTGGTTGTGTAATGGTGTGGGGGATATTTTCTTCGCACTAGCAAGGTGGACCTAATAAAGTGGCTGGTGAGTGTGGATTTTATATCACTAGAGGGGATACCAGCAGGAGGAAGGAGGATCCTGATTCCTTCCATATAGATCTTTATATCACTAGAAGTGTCACCAGCAGGAGGAAGGAGGTCCTGATTCCTCTATATAGATCTTTATATCATTAGAGGGGTCAACCAGCAGAAGGAGGAGGTCCTGATTCCTCTATGTCCAATAGATCTTTATATCACTAGAGGGGTCACCAGCAGGAGGGAGGAGGTCCTGATTCCTCTATATTGATCTTTATATCACTAGAGGGGTCACCAAGTAGGAGGGAATGAGATCCTGATTCTTCCATATAGATCTTTATATCACTAGAGGGGTCTCCAGCAGGAGGAATGAGGTCCTGATTCCGTCTTATCCACAGTAGATCTTTATACGCACTAGAGGGTCTATCAACAGCAGGAGGAAGGAGGTCCTGATTGCTCTATATACAGTAGATCTTTATCTCACTAGAAATATCACAGCAGGAGGAAGGAGGGTCCTGATTCCTCTATATAGATCTTTTATATCACTAGAGGTGTCACCGGCAGGAGGAATGAGATCATGATTCTTCCATATAGATCTTTATATTCTAGAGGGGTCACCAGCAGGAGGAAGAAGGTCCTGATTCCTCTATATAGATCTATATATCACTAGAGGGGGGTCCCAGCAGGAGGGAGCAGGGCCTGAAACCTATATATTGATCTTTATATCAATAGAGGAATCACCACCAGAAAGAAGGAGGCCCTGATTCCTCTATATAGATCTATATATCACTAGAGGGATCTCCAGCAGGAGGAATGAAATCCTGATTCTTCCTTATAGATCTTTATATCGCTAGAGGGATCTCCAGCAGGAGGAGGAGGTCCTGATTACTCTATATAGATCTTTATATCACTAGAGGGGTCACAAGCAGGGGGAAGGAGGTCCCTGATTCCTCTATATAGATCTTTATATCACTAGAGGGGTCACCAGCAGGGGGAAGGAGGTCCTGATTCCTCTATATAGATCTTTATATCACTAGAGGGGTCAACGGCAGGTCACTGAGGGGTCCACCGGCAGGAGGAAGGAAGTCCCGATTCCTTGTATATAGATCTTTATATCACGGCAGGAGGAAGGAGGTCCATTCCTCTATATAGATCAGGAGGCAGGAGGAAGGAGGTCCCCATATAGATCATTATATCACTATAGGGGTCCCAGCAGTTCTTTATATCATATCACTAGAGGGTGTCACCAGCAATAGGAAGGAGGTTTTGATTCCTCTACCTATATAGATATTTATATCAATAGAAGGACCACCAGCAGGAGGAAGGAGGTCACCAGATGAATGTTTAGAAGCAGAGGTAATGTCAATTTCTCTAATCCGATTGGCTAATGATGAAGGAACCATGGCACATGGCAGAAGAAAACAAATATCTGTCACTTCCAGGAGTTTTGCAAGCCAAAGAGTCTGATGGAGGTTGCAGTGCTTAACGAAAGCAAGGTAGAGGACATACACTGTCGAACAGCTATCATGGCTCATCTCTTGCATGGAACCTGCCAGTTTGATATCTTTAGAGACCTGACAGGGTCTATTTAATATGCTTCTAATGTGATATTTCATGAATCATGATATCTCCTATGTAGGAAATATTCAGCCTTGTAGTTCAATATTCAGCCTTGCACATAAGTCCAGCCATGACTGGTCCTCTTTACACAACCATTAGATGAGAGGAAAGTTTTCTGATCCACAACTAACATTTTAGCTCTAAATTGTGTATTTATGATGTTTCTCTAGCTACTGGTGGAGCGATGTGTACTGTTATCATTGATCATATTTCATTATGAAGGAATAGAAAGATTTTCCATTTTGTCTTCGGATTCTGCAGAGGCGGAAGTTGGTGAAGGAGAACCAATTCTATAATGTAATTTTGGTTTCCATTACTGCGGATTCTCCCCTCTCTACACGAGTCAATATAAATAATAAATAGAACTTTGCAGATAATGCTCTGGCCATTGCAGAGGGAATTCATGTGAGAAATGACGGCACAGCTGTAGGATGAGAGTTGTAAATTATAGGACTGGAAAGTCAGATCAGACTAATCTGCCTGTTGTGTGATATTATGTAAAATGACTTCCGTTTCAAGGACTACACTACCTTTCTCCCCTCCAATCACAGCGCCTACACTGTCTTCTTATCCCCACATCCCAAGGCCTACACTCCTTTCCCCACCCCCATGACAAGGCCTACTACACTCCTTTCCCCACCCCCATGACAAGGCCTACACTCCTTTTTCTCACCCCCATGACAAGGCCTATGCTCCTTTCTCCACTCCCATAACAAGGCCTACACTCCTTTTTCTCACCCCCATGACAAGGCCTACACTCCTTT